CTTTTTATTGAAAGTAATGCGTTACGTTACTTTTGCATTACTTTTTAAATCTGGGCTGCACTGTAAAATAAATTCTGTAGTTTTTACAAAATAATTTTGGCAGCTGTGGTTGCCAGAATAATTTTGTAAAAAATACAGAAAAACTGTAAACACATTTACGGCCAAAAACTGTATATTTTACAGTATAAAACTGTAATTTGCAAACAAGAAAATTTGAATGTAAACCAGTAAATTCAACAATGCACACTGCTATTAAAATCTGTTTTGTAACATACTGACAACCACCATAATAATGCAGGTGGTAAAAGAGAAAGCCACATGAAGAATCAAAGCTCATCACAAGTAGCTTCGCCACAAGCAGAAGTATATACTAATATATAGACGGTGCACAGAGTCATTCATGCAAACACTAAACACCATCATGGTAACACACATGATACTTAAATAATGCATTAAACTTTCATTAAACAACAGAAGATGTAACATAAAGCCCAAATATACATAACTAATAACAAAAACTATTAAAAAAACATGATTATTTAAACAAAATACTTTCAAATGTGGAGTGTCATGCAGGGAATTCTGGGAATATCCATTTACTATATATACGTTCTGGGAATATCCGTGTAAATTATACATTGATTTGTTATTTTTACTTCTAAAAACTGTCAAATTAACAGCATTTTACTGTAAACTTACATGAAATGTCTGGTTACATATTTTACAGTTTTTCCCTGTATATAGTACGGGAACTTACTGTTAACCTATTAACAGTTTTTTTCCGTAGTGTTTTTACAAAATTTTACAGTTAAAATTACACTTATTTTTTACAGTGTACGTTATCTTCCTTTAAATCATCTCTTAAAACATATCTTTTTTCTCAGGCTTTTGCTTAACTTGAAAACACTTTTTTTTGTTTTGTTTCTTTGTTTGGTGATGTTTTGCATTACTTATTGTATTATTTAATGATTTCAAATTTGATATGTCTTAATGCTTTTGTTAGTTGATATTTCTGATGTTTTGGCTGTGCAGCACCTTGGTCAGCACTAAAGTTGACACTGACCTTCTAATCTATTGGCATTATTATACAAGTATCTCTATATCTAGATGTTAGAATAGTTCACATATTTCATAGGTACATAAGGACCACACTGTTACTGAAACACTGATCACCTGTAGCTGACAGGAGCTTGATGAAATCAGTGCAAGCCTGCTTTGACAGAAGTCTGTTTTCCCACAAACTCCTTCAGCTAAGTCATTGTGTGACTGTGTTTGATGCGGGTGGATGGAAATAACAAGGCAGACTGGCAAAAAGGACAGTAAGAGTGAGTTCAGTGCATATTCAGGTTCAATCGGGGGTTCATCTTCATCTCTGGTTCCGGTCTCATCCGTGTCCAGCTTTATTTAGCTGCAAAAAACAGCTCGTTTTGCTGCTTGATATTGAACATTGGTGTGTCTGACCATATTATTTTAATGTAGTCTCTTAATTATGAACACACGGGTTTGTAGTTAAAACAGTTTTACTGTTTACTGCACTTTGTTATTCTTCTCGTTAATGAACCGGAGGTCTTGCCCATAGGCTTACTTCCGCGTTGAAGAAAAAGGTGGATAGCTTTATCACATTAATGTTTAATTTGTGTAAGTTAATAAAGGCACATTCTAAAACGCTTAACGTGGCCTAATGCATTAAAATAGTGTTTAAAAGACCAAACTCAACCTTGTCTGTACATAGTATGATTTATTAATAATGTGAGTTTGGTATTTTTAAAAACACTGTTTTAATGCATTAAGCCACGTTACAGGTCCCCTGAAATGCTTAGAAACACGCAGCGTTACTCTATGTGAAAGCTTTGAATGCTTATATCTTCTAAATGCGAATTTTGTCACTGTTTTGGAGCACACTGCCTTATAGATAACCTTAAGACTAACATATTGATACTAACACCCAAAAAACTTTAATTTTGATTTCATGGGGACTTTAAGTGTTTTCCTTATAATGGTTTTCTATGGGAGGAAAGCGCTTAACGTTTCAGATGCTGTGGAACAAGAACGGTCCGCTGTCCGGTTTTGTCGTCCGCAAAGTCGCGTGACTTTTTAGATGCGCATGGAGGAATTTACTCGCCAAATGCGTTTCCATCTCCCATTATTCGAGTCAAAAACCACCTCAAGCGAGCGTTAAAACTTTTTTTGTGAATTAAGGGATTTTTATTCAAAATTTGGCGTTTCCATCTTGTTTCTGATACTTCAAAATGTGCATAAAAACAGGGTGATGGAAACATAGCTAAAATCTTTAATAAGCCACGTTAAGCGTTTTCCTTATAACGGTTTTCTATGGGAGGAAAACGCTTAAAGCGTAATTAGGTAAAAAAAAAAAAAAAAAAGTTTGTCAAGACAAACTTTGATGTTGGCATAAGAAGATAGGCCTATATATCTATGTTTAAAACAGTTTTAAAATTTAGACAGACAGACAGATAGATAGATAGATAGATAGATAGAGGCGGAGTTGGAGTCGCAGAAGAAGAAGAAGCGGAAGAAGAGGCGTGTCTGTGACGTCACGCGCGTAACGTCCAGAACCCACTATGGCGGAAAGGTAGTGGCGACTCACACTTTACCGGTAAAATCGACATCGGATAGCAGATATCTGCTCGATTCACCATTCTCCGGCTCACGCTCAAACATCCCATCTCTTCGTGCACTCTCTCTGATCTTCGCGGAACTAACGGAAACATGCCTAACATCAAGATCTTCAGCGGCAGCTCGCACCAGGATCTGTCTCAGAAGGTCGCGGACCGTCTCGGGCTGGAGCTGGGGAAAGTGGTGACGAAAAAGTTCAGCAACCAAGAGACGTGGTGAGTCATTTCTGGAAATGATCCGAGCGTGTTTTAGGTTTGTACTTGTACATGTTGGAGTGCCGTTTGTTTCCGCGGGCCGCTGGGAGTTGTAGTCCAGACGGTGTCTGCCAGCGCTCCACGTGGGTTTCAAAAAACTACAACTCCCAGAAGGCTGTGCATCTGCACGCGAGGCGATGTCTATTTGCTTCAGTTTGGACGTACATTTTGTGACTAATATTCCCATTAAATAGCATTTAGACACGTATTTAGGAATGGAAATACATAACGCCGTAAGTAGCCTCCGAGCTTATACCTTTACCAAAAACCTTTATGCCATGATGGCTTCACTTCACGCGTTATGCTTAAATAATGCAGTGACCCTGAGACATTCTCCGGTTATTTGCTTTCATAACATGCTTTCGTCCTGCAGTGTACCTTTACAAAACAAATACAGTGGTGTGTTAATATCAGTCATGTTTCCATATGCTAATACACAGTGTTGGGAACTAGTAACTAGTTACTTCCCAACACTGGTAATACATATACAAATAGACTTTTATTTACATGTTACTCCAAGATTACATTATATCATTATAGTGCGTTGTCAATTTAAGAAAAGGCTTTTTTTGTTTGTTGCAGCTTTAATATTGTAAAAGGAATGAATGTTGTATTTGCTAGCAGAGCTTTATTGGTGGAAGTAGTGTGAGTGCTGTACTAACAGAGATGTGTTTCTGCAGTGTGGAGATCGGAGAGAGTGTCCGTGGAGAGGATGTGTACATCGTCCAGAGCGGCTGTGGAGAAATCAACGATAACCTGATGGAGCTTCTGATTATGATAAACGCCTGCAAAATCGCATCGGCCTCCCGAGTCACAGCGGTCATCCCCTGCTTCCCTTACGCCCGGCAGGACAAGAAGGACAAGGTGGGCTCTCTGTCTCTAATAAATGAAGTCTGTGCCGTTGCCTGTCAGTGAAAGTGGAAGGAGTTTTTGTGCAAGTAGCTGGTGTGGATCATCGTTTTGTTCTTTCACTCATTTTCTGCAGAGTCGGGCGCCCATTTCTGCCAAGCTGGTGGCAAATATGCTGTCGGTTTCTGGTGCTGACCACATCATAACCATGGACCTGCATGCATCTCAAATACAGGTGGGTTTTACAGCACTCCAAAGGATCTAGTGATACAACACACACGCACACAACAGAAGAAAATGTGCTG